AATCTAGTCTCTTTTTACGACCAGGTTACAAAACACCTGGACGCAGGAGTAGGGGTTGACATCGTCTACTTAGACTTCAGGAAGGCCTTCGATACGGTATCCCACCCCATACTGGTGAACAAGCTAAGAGGCTGTGACTTGGATGGTTACACAGTCCAGCGGGTGGCAAACTGGCTAGAGGGTCATACCCAGAGAGTGGTGGTGGATGGGTCGGTATTGACCTGGAAGGACGTGGGCAGTGGGTCCCGCAGGGCTTGGTCCTTGGACCGATACTCTTCAATGTCTTCATCAGCAACTTGGACGAAGGAGTGAAGTGTACTCTGTCCAAGTTTGCAGATGATACAAAACTGTGGGGAGAAGTGGACACACTGGAGGGCAGGGAACAACTACAGGTAGACCTGGACAGGTTGGACAAATGGGCAGAAAACAACAGAATGCAATTCAACAAGGAGAAATGCAAAGTGCTGCACCTAGGGAGGAAAAATGTCCAGCACACCTACTGCCTACAAAATGACCTGCTCGGTAGCAGGGAAGCGGAAAGGGATCTTGGAGTCCTAGTGGACTCAAGATGAACATGAGTCATCAGCATGACAAAGTCATCAGCAAAGCTAACTGTACTTTATCATGCATCAGCAGATGCATGACAAACAGAACTAAAGAGGTGATACTTCCCCTCTATCGGGCACTGGTCAGACCGCAGTTGGAATACTGCACGCAATTTTGGGCGCCACACTTCAAGAGGGATGTGGATAACCTGCAGAGGGTCCAGAGAAGGGCCACTTGTATGGTTAAGGGCTTGCAGGCCAAGCCCTACGAGGAGAGACTAGGGCACCTGGACCTCTTCAGCCTCTGCAAAAGAAGGTTGAGACACGACCTTGTGGCTACCTATAAATTCATCATGGGAGCGCAGAAGGGAATTGGTGAGGCTCTACTCACCAAGGCGCCCCTGGGGGTCACAAGAAATAATGGCCATAAGCTAGCAAAGAGCAGATATAGACTGGACATTAGGAAGAACTTCTTCACAGTTAGAGT